ATCAATTACGACTGAGTAGTGAGTTGGATCCTCACTGGGTGCCCCATACTTTCGGCCTTGTTTCACATCTAAGCCAGGATTAGAAAATCGCTATCGAGACAAGCTTGTTACCCATTACACCACGTCGAAGTCCCCACAGTGTTCTAAACCAGGGGTCGGCAATCGATAGCACGTGTGCCACACATGGCACGCCAAGCAATTTCCAGTATCACACAGACAAATGACATCACGAAGTTCGAACCAATAATTACTACAACGCAAAGAAGATATTTAGCTGTTTCAATTTTAATATATACTAAAGTATATATATTATATATTACTATATAAAATCTATTGTAGAATATGTATAAAGACCTTGATTTGTATAAAAATACGTATGCTGTTGGCACACTGAATGATTTTAAAAGCCTAAGTCGGGACAAAATTAGTAAAAGTTTGTCGACACTTATTCTAAAGTTTACTCGTTCAAAGCCATTTTAAACGATGGATCCACGAGATTCACTGGTTAACATTTCAATTAACATTTACTAAGCTTAGCTTAGTTTGGCAAAATTTTAAACGTTTAAAGCAGCCTATCGAATATCACACTCACTGTAGTTATGGTAATTTTTTATTGTGACATCGGTTCCCTAGGGACGGCTATGTTGACTTGAAGCAACAGCGTCCACAAAACACCCGATCACATCAAAACCACCTGAGGCAACAAATGTTTTGCTTTTAGTAACAAGTAAATTTTAGCATGAGGAATTATTGGCCCAAACCTCAAATGGTTTGTTTTCAGATTTTTTTCTTCTTCATCTTCGTTACCTTTTTTAATCCTTTCACTCCAAGAAAGAATATTTCATGTTTCTTTAGAGATGATTCAAATAATGTTCATTCAGAGAGGGAGAAATTATATCTTTAACTTATGTCCTTTGGTTGTGATAAATTTTGTTTTTTAGGCAGATATATACGGACATGTTTGTTTGTCTAACCGCCATTTTATCCCTAAAAATTGATCGCTCAATTTCTTAGTAGTGAAGCACAGTTATTAATTTTGGCAAATGGTCTCTTAATAAGTGTCATCATCAGACAGACGGTGGGAACAATTCTCCAAGCGGAGAGTGGTTGTAATTGATAAATTTAAACAGAAACTTTTTTGATCTGGAATTAATCCAAAAATTATCGAACGACCAGTCTATTCCAATTCTCAGTGCTTTTTGCTCAATTTTTTTTTCGCCAAACTTAGACCCATTTCTTTCCCGCCTTTTTTCTTATTTTCATTTGTCAATAGCAATGCTGGTGTTTGATTTTTTTTTTCAATTTTCCTTCTTTCGTTGGACAAACTCTACTTTTGAATGACTAAAAAATGTTGATATAAACTTGTTAAGTATTTTTCTTGTCTAATCGTGCCAAGAAACGAAAAACGTATATTTGTTAAAGTGATAGTTTTTATAATCGCCTCGCAGACTCCAAGAAAACGTCGAAACATCAGGAAACCTGCCCAACGTTTGATTTAATGCAGCCAGAACTTAAGCTCTCTATGTGTTATTATTATGATCGAAAAAAAGTTCCTTTAAAATTTCTTCTTTAGTACATTACCTTCCGAGTGCCAACCCGGCGCCTGGGGCAAGAAATGGGTAATGTTTTTGTTTGTCAGTCAAGTAAACGAAAAATATATATAATGTGTCGTGCGAGATGTTTTTCTCTCCATAATCTATCTTACATATCTATAAGTCTACCATTCGTTCATGCTAAAAATATTGCTGCTACATATGGTCCATTACTCCTGCTATTTATTGTGAGATCCTTGATAAAATCCAAAGAAGGATCAGGAATATTATTGGTCTTGATCTAGGGCCTCGTCTTCAGTAACATTCTCACTTTCTATAAATACTTTTGTGGTATTTGTTCGGATGAGCTCTATGCTATGGTAAGTGATACCAAAGAGTTAGGGCTCCTTTACACCCAGTCGGACGCAGCAATCAGAAACTGCCAACCCAGTACCCTCACAAGGAAAATTTGCAAGAACTGGTCAGTCAGGTCACCAAAAATTTAAGAAAGTTAAATCACTATGGCCATGGAATAAATAAAGGGATCGGTAAAGGATATCCTAAAGAGGAAACAAGGGATAAACCTCTACTCCTGCTCAATGAACATGGAAGGCGAACTGACTGGGTGAATTGAGCTGCTCGGCCCGGGGGCCAGGATCAAAGTGTAGTACGCTGCCTTTGTGAGCTTCCGAGTCGGCGTCTGTCGAACTCTCTGCATTAGCAGAGAGGAACCCGGACGAAGCTTTCCCGAGGGGCAAGGTTTCGTTCGGGGAGGTAGACAGGGCCTGAATCCGTCAAGGCGGGTTCAAAAAGGCTATATTTTTGGCCGAGCCTACGGGCCCGGTGATACTCACATTAAACCGGCCTTGTGCCACATTCTATCCTCGTGGGTGGATCGTTAAATACTGAACTGACTGGGTGAATACCTAAATGTAACCGCCAATTCTGCTCCAACAGTTTATTTTCTCGCTCTTCCCAACCTGTGGAACGCATTTACTTTTACTTGCTTTCCTGTTAACTACAATCTTCAAAAAAAAAAAAATAAATAAATAAATGCAACATCAATCGACATTTTCTGTCTTCTTTAATGACGCCCATCTATTGTACATTTCTCAATCCACCCTATTCTCAGGATTTTCTTTCATTTTCACTATCTGTAACTCCCTGCGTACTTGTGGCATGCGAGCCTTTTTGCGTGTGAAATGATTAAAGCAAAACGAGATTTCTGATAGGGTGCTACACTAAGCCGTACACTATTACTCGTTGATTGGTTAGTTTTTCATCCGGAGATAATCTAGCTATAAATGTACACGAATGACAAATGTAACCTAGTCTACATGACAACACATCGCCATCTTCCGTAAATTTTCTTTAATCTTAATAACTAAAAAAAAAGGATTTGTCGATATATGTTCATATGGTCTTTGGATCTTGTTTTGGTGTGAGAAACCCACCTCCAAAGTGTGTAAAAGTATTTTTGATAACCTCATATACAGTATATCACAAAAGTGAGTACACCCCTCACATTTCTTCAAATATCTAAGTATATCTCTTTATGGGACAGCACTGAAAAAAATTACCTTTTGACACAATGAAAAGTAGTCTGTCTGCAGCATATATAACAGAGTTAATTTCTTTTCTCCTCAAAATAACTCAAAATATAGCCATTAAAAGCTAAATCCCTGGCAACAAAAGTGAGTACACTCCTAAGAAACTACACCCCTAGAAAGTGAGTACACCCCTAAGAAACTACACCCCTAAATGTCTAAATTGAGTACTGCTTTTCCTTTTCCCTCCAAAATGTCATGTGACTCATTAGTGTAACTATGCCCATGTGTTCATGGGGAGCAGGTGTATTCAAATTTGTAGTGCAGCTCTAACACTCTCTCTTACCGGTCACTGAAAGTTCCAACATGGCACCACATGGCAAAGAACTCTCTGAGGATCTTAAAAAACGTATTGTTGCACTACATAAAGATAGCCATGGCTACAAGAACATTGCCAACACCCTGAAACTGAGCTGCAGCACAGTGGCTAAGATCATCCAGCATTTTAAAAGAGAAGGGTCCACTCAGAACAGGCCTCGGGTAGGTCGTCCAAAGAAGCTGAGCACACGTGCTGAACGTCACATCCAAATGCTTTCTTTGAAAAATCAGCGTAGGAGTGCTGTTAGCATTGCTGCAGAGATTAAAGAGATTGGGATTCAGCCTGTTAGTGTTCAGACCATACGCCACACACTACATCAAATTGGTGTGCATGGCTGTCACCCCAGGAGGAAGCCTCTTCTGAAGGCAGGTGAGGAGTACAAAGATAAGTGTGGTGTGTCATGCCTACAGTCAAGCATGGTGGTGGGAATGTCATGGTCTGGGGCTGCATGAGTGCTGCAGGTATTGGAGAGTTACATTTCATTGAGGGAAACATGAACTCCAACATGTACTGTGAAATACTGCAGCAGAGCAGGATCCCCTCCCTCCAAAAACTGGGTCGCAGAGCTGTGTTCCAGCATGACAATGACCCCAAACACACATCCAAGACAACCACTGCTTTACTGAAGAGGCTGAGGGTAAAGGTGATGGACTGGCCAAGCATGTCTCCAGACTTGAACCCAATAGAACATCTTTGGGCTATCCTCAAGCAGAAGGTGGAGGTGCGCAGAGTCTCAAATATCCGGCAGCTCCGCGACGTCGTCATTGAGGAGTGGAAGAGCATTCCAGTGACTACCTGTGAAGGTCTGGTAAACTCCATGCTCAGGAGAGTAAAGGCAGTTTTGGATAATGATGGTGGCCACACAAAATATTGACAACTTTTCCTAAGGGGTGTACTCACTTTTGTTGCTAGGGATTTAGCTTTTAATGGCTATATTTTGAGTTATTTTGAGGGAAAAATAAATTAACTCTGTTATATATGCTGCAGACAGGGTACTTTTTCATTGTGTCAAAGTGTCATTTTGTCAGTGTTGTCCCATGAAGAGATATACTTAAATATTTGAAGAAATGTGAGGGGTGTACTCACTTTTGTGATATATATATATATATATATATATATATATATATATATATATGTAGAAAAGTAGGAAAGAACACGTTAGGTAAATAATCCGGAGTTCTTTAGTATTTTTGGCTTTATTTAAAAAAAAAAAACAAAAAAAAAACAGAACTCCATACAAAAGTAGAGCTTAAATTATAATTATTTTTTTTTAAAGAATATGATTAGTAAATCAAAATATGAAAGTAGAGCTTAAATTATAATTATTTTTAAAAAACATGATTCCTTCGGCTCTCGTTTTTTGAAACATGAGAATTTTATGTTAGCAGAAGGAATCATATATTTAAAAAAAATAATTATAATATATATATATATATATATATATATATATATATATATATATATATATATATCGATCGAGAGAGAGAGAGAGAGAGAAACTACAAATATAAAATGTTGTTTTTATATTTTACTCATTGTTCCATGTTTTCTCATTTCTTTCACATTGTCGCCATATTTTTTCCCTCTGTTCAATGCTCTTTTTATGATTTCTTCATCGTTATATTGTTATGATCATATCTTAAAAAAAAAAGCTTTACCTCATTTTCTTTCTGACCGTTTGAATTAGATCCTTTTTTTATCCATAAACCTGTACAAATCTGAATCATTTCTGTATCCACTCAATAAAGAAGACGAATGTTATTTTTCTATGAATTAACACACGATCAAAAAAACTATAAACTTTGTTTTTTATTCCTACTTCACAATGAAAAATACAATCTTCATCTATTGTAAAATCCTCGATAACGAATAGGAAATTAAACCTTTTTTTCACGAAAGGGAGCACGAATTGTATTCATATTACTTTTTATCGCTCATCAGTAAATTGTATTATTTTAATAGGATTAAAAAAAGAGAAATGAAATGACAAAAAGAAAACGAAGATGCTGTGTTCCTATTCAAAAAGAAAGTAATATTTATTCGCCGAGAACAGTTTTGTAAAACCGGAGAATATGATAAGGTTTTCTTTTTGAAAGATATTTTTGTAAACTTATAATATACTATTTTTTTAATCGGTATCACGCCATGAAAATCACTAAATCCACGGATACACAATAGTTTACAGAGTGTGTAAAAATTAGGAATAGTAATATTAATGATGAGCAGGAAGCGGAAAGAGTAATCAAAAGACAATAAATAGGGATTGACATTGCATTTAAATCTTTGCGAATTAAAGTTGGCTGAAATCATGGAGACGGAAGGGGCTTCCACAGGCGAGAAATGCGAGGTAAGACCCTGTCAGCATAGAACGTACAGCTACATCTAGCCAGCCCAAATGAAATTTGATGAGATCTTGATGCCAGTCTAATACTTCGCTTAAATTCAAAATGATCGAGTACTATAGTGACAAGCTCATCAGGACAATTACCATGATAGAATTTTTTTTCAATCATTATCACACCATATAAGGCAGTAAAGCGATTAAATCTGAAGGGGGTTTAAGGATGTGGAAAAATTAGGAACAGAAACATTTATAATAAGCGGGAAATGGAAAGAGTAATCAGAAGACAATAAATATGGTTGATATTGCATTTAAATGTTTGCAGATTAAAATTGGCTAAAAATCATAAAACCGGAAGGGGCTTCCACAAGCGAGAAATCCACGTTAAGAAACTGTCAGCATAGAACTTCCGGTTACATCTATCAGCCCAAATAAAAAATGAGATCTCGATGCCAGTTTAGAACTGCACTTAAATTCAAAATGATCGTGTACCATAGTGACAAGCTCATGAAATAAGTTTTTCAATATTTATCACCCCATGCAAGGCAATAAGGCCACTAAGACTCAAGGGATTACAGGATGTGGAAGAATTAGAAACGGAAACATTAATAATGAAAGAAAAGTAATTGATGAGATCTCGGCACCAGTCTATTACTGCGCTTAAATGAAGAAAGTCTAGATACCCTAGCGAAGAGCTCATCCGAACAATTACTATGAAAGTATTTATAGAAAAGACACAGAGAGGCAACATTACCGTGTTGTGAAAGTGACTGAAGCCAAGCCAGCAGATAAGGCGCGATAATATTCTTGGTCAAACCTTTCTGACTGACTTGAAGTGGAACAACTACATTGAATGCAGTGAAGTTTCCTTGCAGTAGATGCATAGCTGCATCTACTGTAAGGAAACTTTGTTCACTGTGTCGTGCCAAAAGGTTTTTTTTTTTATCGTCAGAGTTCATCTTGCATATTTATAAATCTACCATTCGTCTGTGCATTGAATAATGTTTTCATATCTTCTCTGATGCCCCTGCTGTTCATCTCGAAGTTCTTAAAAAAATCCAAAGAAGGATCTGTGAAGTAATCGATCCTGGCTTGGCATCTTGACTTCAGTCACTTTATCAATGACTTGATGTGTCTTCTCTCTGTCATTTCTACAAATATTTTCATGACAACTGGTCTGATGAGCTTCTTTTCCTATTGCACCGGTTACAGGAATTTAAACGTGATACGAAATTGGCTTCTAGGTCCCATCGTTTTACTGTTAAAATAGCTCAATGTAACCGCTACTTCTTCTCTGACAATTTCTTTTCTCGCACATCCCGTCGGTGGAACTTACTTCCGATTACTTACTTCCATTTTAACTACAATCTTCAAAAAGTTAAATGCAATGCCAATCGTCATCTTCTGTTGTCCTGAACTCCGCTCATCTTTTATACTTTACCCCATCTGCCCTATACCCAATATTTTCTCTCATTTCCACTCATTGTACCCGCCTTGCTCGGTGTGAAATGATTAAATAAAAATAAAATTATTATTAAAAGTAAGAGAAATCTTTAGTTGAATACGTAAAAATTTTCCAGAGATTATTAAAAAAAAAAAACAAAAAAAAAACACAGACACACAACTGTAATTTATATATTCTTATTGAGCTTGAGTAGCCGGACACGTTTTAGGAAAAATAACAGAAAGACAACATTTATTAAGAGCTATCAGGGACAAGAAGTTGTGGAGAGCCATGATCACCTACGTCCTGAGGACACACAGCACATAAAGAAGAAGATACTAAAATTAAGTATGTGCCAAAATTTAAATGTTTTGGAAGTGTTTTAACAGAGGACGGAAAGTGCTAAACTGAAATCCTGAGGAACATTATGATTGCCATTGTGCCTTTCAGAAATTAAGCAATATATTAAGAAACAGGAAATTTTCAGTATAATCAAAAAAAGAAAAAGAAAAAAAGATTACTGAACCCAAATGCTACCTCTCTTCTCCATTTGACAGAAAATGCTTGACAATCAAATTACAGATAGAGAAAAGACTTGAGACATTAGAAATATAGTTCTACAGAGGAATACTGAGAATCTGATGGACTGAACAGGTGAGCAACAGCGAACTTTTAGAAGAAATGGAAACGAAATGGGCGCTTATACGTAACATCAGAAAGGGAGAGTTGAAATTTCTAGGGTACATATTGAAGAAAGATAGCTTGATAAATTCAACACACACAAGTCATATTGCCGGCAAGAGGAACAGAGGAATTCAGTCCAATACCTACCTAACGACATTGAGTAAATGGTTGGCTGAACAGGGGTTAGGAGAGATCGCAAAAACACATTTTACTTCTGGTTACAAAGGACAGGAAGTTGTAGTGAGCTATGATCGTGAATGTCTTGAAAGAATACACATATAAATTAGAAATAATACGTACCTTAATTAAAAACGCTCTCCCTTTCTCACTCTCTCTTTATATATATCTACATGTATATATATATATATATATATATATATATATATATATATATATATATATATATATATATATATATATAAAAATATATGGATATAGATCCGACAGTATGAAGAAAAATATACTCAAAAAACAAACAAAAATTCTAATATGCGATTATGCTGTTTCGGTCTAATAGACCATCTTCAGGACATATTCATAAAACATAATTAACATAGACCATATACAATTCAACGTGAAAAAGACGATGGACATAAAAGCAATACCAATCCAAACAGATAACTGAAATCTTTTATAAGATCAGCGTTTCGTTTAAATATGATCACGTCGTCTTCACGTGGGCGATGGTGTGAAAACGTATTTTTAAAATTCTTTTCGTTTTTCATTCAAAATACTCAAATACCTGGGTAGGTTTGTCTGGCTCACTAGGTTTATCTAGGTCTGCTCTACGGTTGTATTGAGCTCTTTTTAGTTAGTTGTTTACTCGGGTCGTTTTTTTTTTCTTTGGGCCTCGAACCTGTATCTGGGCGATTTTTTCGACAGACTTTCATGTTCCTGGCTCTTTCTTTTTTAAAAACCTTTTTTTCCTTCGAGATTGATTTGATTATTGGCAAATCCAAAATTCGAAGGCTTTTCGAGACGAGCATAGTTACCTATATATATATATATATATATATATATATATGGAAAATTATTGACAAGGCTAGAATATGTAAAGCTTGGGACGACCCATGCCCTTTGTGCCTCCATGAAAAATTGCACATTATTAAACTTCTAAATAATAATAATCTATTAAATAATAGACACGAGTTAACGGTTTTTTGTAGGCATCATCAAATTTTTGGTTTGAAATAAAAAAAATTTATATAACTTGTTTAGCAAACAGCCCAATCATCAGATTCATAGTAGAAATTATTAACTACAAACTTGCATACAACATAACACCCTTCATAATCCATAGCCCAAATTAGTAGTTTAAATACCTTAAAAGATAACCCTTTATGAAGTCGTCAAAAAACAAACGTTACGAAAGTTTTTTTTTTTTATATGCACAATTCCCTTTCATAATAAAATAAAAAAATAAATAAATAAATCTCCATAGACAAGCAAACTAGACGATGGCCAATACATCTTCCGTTTCATTTTGACACCCCACCTTTCTCCGACTTGACACCTTGAAAGTATCTCTATACCGCTACTTAATATAAACACCCTACACTCGCCTTACCCAATTTAGACAATTCACCATAGCTGTTACCATGGGGATTTTGATTTCAATTTTTAAAACAAGTAGATTTCAGATATAGGTTATTCCAACAACAATTTCGCTTGAAGATGGAACGGAGCCCTTTTTAATTTCAACTCAATTTAATTTAAAGGATTATATTGAAGTTTTCGGCTCTTGTTTTGAAACATGAGACCTCTTATGTAGCGATTTGGAATCATTTTTTTCAATAAATTTTAAATATATATATATATATATATATATATATATATATATATATATATTGCATTCGATTGCCTCAAGCCAAGATCGAAAACCAATCGATTTGGCAGTCTCTCTCTCTCTTTCTCTCTCTCTTAGAGAGAGAGAGAGAGAGAGAGAGAGAGAGCAAGAAATACTGAAGTGTTTAACGTCTCCTATTTCATCATACAATAATGGATTAATCCGTTTTGATCATGTGAGAAAATAAAAAAAAACTTCTGAAAGAGGCTACTTGGTTTCAGTGAGTAAATGAAAGACAGAAGGAAAAATAGAAATGTTTAATTTCTGTTTCAGTGAAATAGAAAAAAAAATTCATTTTAAATTTTCTCATTTGTACCCCCTTACTTCTTAAAACAACGAGTAGCATTCATATTTATAATTGTTATTGCAATATTTTGCTAACGTTAAGCTCGAATATTTAACAGTGCGATGTTGGAATTTCTACGAATATTTTATTATCGTAGAACTCGCCATGAGCTTATTCTATCATTAACTGAAGAATTAAAATTTTTCATGGGTTAAAACTAATAATAATAATAATAATAATAATAATAATAATAATAATAATGCTAAAGGTAAATAAAACAATTCTTCGTATTCATATTGGGTCACTGATTTGAAATTAATTAAATCCTTGTAAAAATTATTTTACCGCAACGCACAAAAGAAAGGAAGATGCTTTAAATAATAAATATCACCTAAATGATAGACTATTTCGTTTTGATCGCATGGAAATAGGGGAAAAGCGACTACTTAGTTTTAGTGAGAAAAAGAAAGAAAGATGGGAAGTTAGAAATTTTTAACGGCTGTTTTAGTGAAAGGTAAAAAGTTTTCAATTTCAAGTCTTTTCATTTGTACCCACTTCTTAAAATAACAACCTGCATTTATATTTATGTTGTTATTGCAATATTTTATTAAAAATTCAAACTCAAAATTTTAACGATGCGATAAAGCAATTTGTACGGATATTTTATTGTCGAAGAACTCGCCATGAGCTTCTTCAGTCATTTTAAGAGCTAAGAATTAAGATTCATCAGAAAATTTAAATAAGAAAACCAACTGCGACGCACAAAGAAAGGAAAATGCTTTAAATAATATATACCACATAAATGATGGACTGTTTCGTTTTGATCGCGAGGAAAAGGGGGAAAGGACACTACTTGGTTTCACTGAGAAAATGAATGAAAGAAAGAAAGATGGGAAGATAGAAATGTTTAACGGCTGTTTTAGTGAAATGGAAAAAAAGTTTCAATTTCAAATCTTTTCATTTGTACCCTCTTACTTCTTAAAATAACAAGCTTTCATATTTATGTTTGTTATTGCAATATTTTCTTAAAGTTGTTAAGCTCAAATATTTAACAATACGATAGGGGAATTTCTACGGATATTTCATTGTCGTAGAACTCGCCATGCGCTTATTCAATCAATAACTGAAGAATTAATATTCATCAGTAATTTCAAATAGGAAAATAATTTTCAAGGTTTAAAACTAGGATGAATAAACTGCTAAGGGAAATAAAACAGATTTCGTTAGGATTGATTTCTGAAAAATAAATCCATAAAATTCTAGAGTCTTAATACCTGGCCACCATTCAGAATCCCTTAGAAATATAAACACTATTTTTATATTAAGTTTAAATTAGGTACATTCAAACATTTTTTAAAACTCAGCATACCATGATGAAAAACAGGCCCCGAACTGGATAAAATGGAATGTTTATCGTCAAAATGTTTAAATTATTATTAGGAGGAAATTATTTTTTAATTTTATTAAATTTTTTAAGTTTTTTTTAGCACGTTCGAAATTTTGAATAAATATTTTGTTTTTCTAGAGTCAGCGGGTGGACCAAAATATTGGGAATTTAGCGTCTTTTTGCAAATATGAAATAATTGTCGGATTTTAATGAAATTTTCAGGAGTTATTCACAAGTGAATGAAATTATTTTGAAGTATTTTTAGAAAATGTTGGTTGAAAATACTTTTTATACATCTGTTAAACCCCATTTACTTAATTTTATGAAATTTCGGGAAATTAAAATTCCAGGATCTTCGTACTTATATTACTTAAAAGCAGGACTCCTTCAAGAATTTAAATCATTAATTTGGTTTTGTCAAACAGAAACACCATTACATTATTTACATTATTCGGACTGTCCGCTTCTTTGTCGCCATATTTATCACAACGTTTCGGCCGTTTTACGCCCCGGCCTTCATCAGGTGGTTGGAATGTCGAACTGAACCCATTAATTCGTTCACTGGGGTAGACTGTTCTAGTTCCATGTGCCATGTTTAATGGATGTTAGTTATCAGTTATCTCCTGTTAATTTTCCCTCTGAAAGTTCTCCACTGCCTTAACCGGGTATTGAACTCACACTCTTTGGGTCCTGTCACGCCTTTATCTACTGTGCCATGTGTCCTCACAGTTCAATACCCAGTTAAGGCAGTGGAGAACTTGGAGAGGTTAATTAACAGGAGATAACTGACAACTGACATCCATTAAAACATGGCACGTGGAACTAGAATAGTCTACCCCAGTGAGCGAAATAAATGTTCGACATTCCAACCACCCGAAGAAGGCCGAAGCGTACAACGGCCGAAACATTGTGATAAATATGGCGACAAAGATGAGGTCAATAGTCCGAATAATTTAAATAGTGTACATAATACCTCATCTCAGAAATATAGACAGACTCAGAAACACCATTTATTGAAAATCTGCTGTGAATAGTAAAATAAAAAAATGAAATAAAACTATGAAATTAATTAATTAAAATAAATTAAGAACAGTATTGTCTTAAGAAAAAAAAATTTCGAATATATTATCATTAAATGAAACCTATATTTACTAATAATAAATGGAAAAATTTAATACAAATCATCAAAGACAAATATGCAAAAATAATTTTTTTCATTAGTTTATGAATGTGCCGTTTATGTAAGTACGGTCGACTATACACGACATAATTAGAAAATAAGCGCGATAATTATAGTAAATTTAAAGCTAAAATTTCTAAAATTCAATGAAACATGAGATTACAGAGACTGTTTTACTAATTTTTAAAGATTACTGAGTACATAAAAATAAAATAAAAAAGGTACTTTCCTCATTTTCTTCAATTATCTTTTACAGATAAAGTCTCTGTATAAGAACATTATACCCATTATCACCTTGTCAAACACGTCAACCCAGCTACAGTCGGTTTAAAAACAACTATTTTCGGGCTAAAAAAATCAATGTTGCGATATTTAAAACTTAAAGTAAATAATATTTGCTTCATATCAGATTAATTATACTTTAAATCAGGTAATATTTCTCAAATAATGTTTCAGAAAATTATGTATTATTGTTTAAAGAGTTTTTTTTTTATTATAGAGAATTATTATAGAGAATTACATTGCAATGAAAGGCGACTAAGAAAGGGCGCTAATAAGTTATTTTAGAAATAAAATAAAAATTATTCCAAGTCAATTTAAATTGTTTTATGAAATACAGCAAAGTATTTTTCTTATTCGAAATATTAAATTTAAACTATTAACTTGACATTAAAACTAAATAGAATAATAGATTGAAGAAAGATTTTTTTCATTTCAAAAAATTCATTTTAAACCTTAGGTATCTCGTTTTTGTGGAGGTTTAAATCTTTTAATGGCGGTTTTTTTTTTTTTTCTAAATTCTGATGAAATTATTTTTTGAGCCTCTGTAAGTTAGAATACAGTATTGACCTGCACATCTTGCGTAGCGTCAGTTCTTTTTTGTAACCTCTGAGCTATCACTAATAAATTAGCGAGCCGTTATAATTTCCTTCCAGGTTTAATTACTGTACTTGGATCTGATAGCCTGCCCTCATTTATCTTGATTGGACTTTCAAAGAATGAACTTAAAGGACCTTCTATACTTTCTTTGTTTATTTCTTTGGCATCCATTCCTGCAAATTCACGGAACGTAGCCAAATTTTAATCCCAAGATCGCCAGTTAAAAGTTTTCAAGAATTGGCACATTTAATTTCAGATAGTCCAGAAAAAAATCCTTGACTCCAAATAATCTTGTTTTTCATTAGTGATTAGCAGTTCTCGAAAAAAATTGTCTTGCTCTTCTCTTTATTTTTTCTAGCATCTTTTTTCTTTCTTCAACTTTTTGAGGACATTTTATCTATTTTCTTGCATTTCATAATTGTTCTAATTTCTTTAAAGGAATTATTTCTTTCAAGAGTTAACTTTTTCTTTTTTCTTTTTTTATCACTTCTTGGAAATTTTGTTTTTTTAGCTTTTTTTCATTTTTTTATCAGTTTCTACCTCCCTTTACTTTTCCTTTATTTTTTTTCATCCGCCATCTTGTATTCGCTTGTATATTTCTCTTGTTTTTCATTTCTTTTTTTCTATTATTTCCTAATTCAAACTTCATTTCTTCTTTTCCTTTGTATATCTTTTTTTCTTTCTACTTTATTTCTTCATTAGTTTATTTATTTTATTTACTTCTTTCATTATTTTTTCTTAGATTCCTTTTATTCGTTCTATATTCTTCTTTCTTTGTTACTTTCTTTTTTTCGTACTTTCTTTCTTTCTTTTTTTCTAGCTTTTAATACTATTTAAACGCTTTATACCTTCTATCTTCCCTCACTTACTCCATTCCTTCGTTTCTTTCTCTTTCTTTCTTTCTTTCTTTCTTTCTTTCTTTCTTTCTTTCTTTCTTTCTTTCTTTCTACCTTCCACTATTTTGTTTGTTTCTTTCCTTCTTTCTTCCTTAACCTTTACGACTATATAAATGCTTTAACTCTTCCTTTGTTTCTTCCTTCCTTCCTTCTTTTTCCGACGAAAATTTCTTTTGTTCTAAAGTTGCATTTTTCTTTCTTTCTTCCTTTCTTTCTTTCTTTCTTTCTTTCCTTCCTTCCTTCCTTCCTTCCTTCCTTCCTTCCTTCCTTCCTTCCTTCCATCCTTCCTTCCTTCCTTCCTTCCTTCCTTCCTTCATTCTTTTTCCGACGAAAATTTCTTTTGTTCTAAAGTTGCATTTTTCTTTCTTTCTTTCTTTCTTTCTTTCTTTCTTTCTTTCTTTCTTTCTTTCTTTCTTTCTTTCTTTCTTTCTAACCTTTACGAATATATAAACGCTTTATTCCTCTCTTCTTTCTTTCTTTCTTTCTTTCTTTCTTTCTTTCTTTCTTTCTTTCTTTCCTTCTTTCCTTCCTTCCTTCATTCTTTTTCCGACGAAAATTTCTTTTTGTTCTAAAAGTTGCATTTTTCTTTCTTTCTTTCTTTCTTTCTTTCTTTCTTTCTTTCTTTCTTTCTTTCTTTCTTTCTTTCTTTCTTTCTTTCTCCCTAACCTTTACGAATGTATAAATGCTTTATTCCTTCCTTCTTTCCTTCCTTTCTTCCTTCTTTCCTTTCTGCCGTCCTTCCTTCCTTCGTTCTTTCTTTTCTGGGGAATATTTCTTTTTAAGCTTGCATTTTTCTTTGTTTCTTTCTTTGTTTTTTTTTTTTTTTCCCCTAAAGTTTACGAATATATAAATGCTTTATTCCTTCGTTCCTTTCTCTTACTTTCATTCATTCTTTCTTTCTTCCATCCCCTATTTTTCTTCTCTCTTTTCACTTTTTTAAATACACTAATGACGTCTTTCTTTTCACCTTCCATCCTTTTACCTGTTCTTTAAAAACTGTGGTATTTTTTATTTGTTTTATTTTTCATTATTTCCCAAATTTATTTTATCTTTCATCTCTCTATTTCTTTTTTTCTTTCTTTTTCACACTATTTCCTAATTCTTTCGTCCTCGAATTTCCTCCTCCCTATCTCTATCTTATCCACTCTTTCTTATCTCCCTCTTTTAATCACTATTTTCATCATCTAACTTTCCAATCCCATCAGCCTTTTCTTCAGATTCACCTCTCTTATCTTCTCACCTCCTTTCAGCAATTAGTTACTCCTCAATTTTTCTTGCTTAATGTCATTTCAAATTACGGCTCCTGATGTTGTCTCTCATTTTATTTGGGTTTTAATCATTTCACCCCAAGTAAGGCAATAAAACCACTAAGACGAATTCGGTTACTGAGCGTGAAAGAATATAAGAAAAATAGAAAACATTATAAAGAGAATAGAGAGAACAGTTAAAGAACAGAAATTAAAAAAAAAATTCCTATACCACTGAAAGAAGTACCTGACTCATGCTATCTTTCTAAGAAGCAGATCAAGCTGAAAATGGAGTTCTGTTGTCATATTTGGGCGGGAGATGCCAAATCCCCACTTTCCCGCCTTGATAGAGTTCAAAAGCGTCTATGCGTCTATGCGTCCTTGTGGGTGATGAATTATTTTCCACCCTCAAGTCTCTCCCTCACAGAGACGTGATATGACGAGACTCTCACTGTTCTATCGCTATATCTATGGAAATTGTTCGGACTCACAACATTCCTTGCTTCCGCCAGGTCTTACCTTCACGGCTATTACCCGCCATGTTACCTATATTGTAGCAATCCACCCATATCCCCACCCGTATTCCATCCGTGAGTAGTAAGTTCGGTTCAAAATTATGTTCTACAGAAGGATACTGAGAATTCTATTTAGGAAGCGAGTAAGCAACGGAGGTGCAGATCACACTCTCATGATAGTAGACATGGAAAGTCAACAACATTTACTCCTACAGAAGGTAGTTTATGAAAGCGAGAAGAAAGGACTGGACATCACGATAGAATGTAATGTTTTCAGCTCAAGGAACAACCTTTAAAAACTGCAAATAATCAAGTGGAGATATCAAAATCAAGCAATTAATAAATTTAAATATCTAAGAAATGTCTTTTCTGAGGGTAGAAACTTCGACAATATTTTCCTTGTTTCAACCCGATGTTAATGATAATTTCTAATTGGTTATATTAGCCGTTTCCGTACAAGGAAACATTTGGCATTCATTGACCAAGCAGCCAGTATTGCTTTCGATCGAAATTTATAAAATATTTTTCTTAAACACCTTTTTTTGGAAAAATATCTTTCTCAAGTCCTATAGTTGTTATCACTCTTCCTAGTATTGACAGGGGTTTCTTTATACTTGAACTGGTCTTGAATGTTAACATGGTCTTGAATGTTAACATGGTCTTGAATGTTAACATGGTCTTGAATGTTAACATGGTCTTGAATGTTAACATGGTCTTGAATGTTAACATGGTCTTGAATGTTAACATGGTCTTGAATGTTAACATGGTCTTGAATGTTAACATGGTCTTGAATATGTTATTATTTTCACCTCGAGTCACATGTGCTATCCATTTTAGATGTTGCTGCTTTTGGTATTCCTCAAGTGATGTGGTTTCTTTTAATGGTAATTGCTAATTGGTAATGCTAATATTAGCCGTTTCCGTACAAGGAAACATTTGGCATTTATTGACCATGAAGCCAGTAAGTACGTGACCCCTCATGCTATCCCCTATCTTTGTAAGAATCAGACAAGACAGAAAATGGGGTACTGTTGTCATATTTCGGCGGGAGCTGCCAAGTCCTCACTTTTCAGTCTTGATAGAGTTCAAAAGTGTCTACGAGTTCTTCTGGATGACGAATAATTTTCTAACCTCTATTCCACAATAAAGAGCCTCTCACTGCCTTATCGCTACTGTCGCGGAAAGTGCTCATACGAGCTTCATTCCTTGTTTCTGCCAGTCCAAACCCTGATGGATAGGACTTGTCATGCCACTTACATTTTAGTAAACCACCCACATTCCCTCCCTATTCCATTGGTGAGATGTAAGTTCCACTCGAACAGATTCTTACCACGAACCGCTGCCCTGTTGAACCGACTCCCAAGAGGATGCTTTCTCGATCACTATAATCTTAACCTGTTCAAATCTAGGGTTAACCGTTACCTTCTTCCTCATATCAGTATAGACTTTCCCTTAACATAACCTTCTACCTGGAGTGCCTCTGGACCTTGTACAGGGCGATTTTTACTATAAAAATAATATAATATAACGATTGACATCGCATTTAATTTTTTGTCGATCGAAGTAGACTAGAAAGCAAGATGCCGGAAGAGAGTTACATAAGCAAAGATTGCGAGAGAAGAAACTGTTAGCAGAGAGATTATTATCACTGCTCTGATGTTCGTAAAGTTCGGGTACCAACGGTGGGAAAGTGACTGAAGCCGAGACACTAGATCAGGATCAATAATATACGTGATACTTTTTTGGATTTTATCAAGGAGCTCTAGATCTATAGCGGGAGCACCGGACTATATGAGGCAGCAATATTCTAAGCATGGCCTAATGGTATACTTATAGATATGTAAGATAGATTCTAGAGAAGAAAATTGTCTAGCACAACACAGTGAACCAACTTTCTTACTTGGTGACCTAGCAATAGATTCAATATAGTCTTTCCACTTGATGTCAGCCGAGATCGTTAACCCGAGAAGGCGCAACGAGTCACTCTCCTGGAGGTTAGCATCAGCCATACTGACGGAAGACTGAACAGAGTCTCAGTAGAGAGTAGTTTAGCTTTGGAGGCGTTAAAATTAACACGCTGTCTTCTGCCGCAGATAACAACACCCACCAATTTGACCTGATTGTACTGATCAGACTTAGTATCTAGATACGAATAAATTGTTGTATCATCAGCATAGATACCAAGTTGAGGGCCGATGTCATCAGGAATTCATTAATGAAATCCAAAAACAAAGGAACAAGGATAGAGTTCTGGTGAGGAAACCCGAATTAGTACCAAATGATCTTGAGGAATCCATATTTTGGATAATTTTCATTTCACGATATGAGGGGAAAGACGATTTCAAAAATCTCTCCGGAAACACCATAACTTTCCAACTTGTGAAGAAGACCTCTATGCCAAACACTGTCGAAATCTTTCGAAATCTTTATAGCAACAACCCGAACTTGTGTGTTAATATCAACACTTCCTGCAATTATCGCCAGTACATCAGCAGTTGTCCTAAAGAAACGAAAGCTATATTGCTTGTTTGAAAGAAGACTCAGATTAGAGCCGCTATTTGTTTGCCAGGTAGAATCCTAATAGACTGGCCCAACAGATAAGGATTTCCATCATGCAAGAAAGCAAGAAGATGCGAGGAATTTATTATAAAGTGTAGAGAGGCTGGGCGTCAGTTCGAGAGTACACTTCTTATGGCCTATAAGGGGGAGATTATTAGACATGATAGCAGAAACCATAGAAGGAGTTATATGCATATCACTCAACAGAGACTCAATTCTTTTCTCTTTTTACTAAAGCCACTCAAGATAAATGGTTACTGTGTCGTTGGAAAGGACAAGCATTAGGTGTATAAAGCTGAAGCAGACTTTAGAAGGAACCAGAAACCCAATCCTAAAAAAGGAAACAAAGGATAAAAATATACTCCTGTTCAAAAGACCGGGGAGGGGAGTGAACTTTTTTGCTTTTTTTTTTTTTTTTTTATCATTCTTTTTCCTTTTTTTCTTCTTATCTATTCTCTTTGTTTCATTCTTTCTTTCCTTCGCTTTTTTTGTTTTTTCTGTCTTTCATTGTATCCGCCATTTTCTTTTCTTTCCTTCGTTATTTCTCTTTCATGTATCTGATTCTTTCCGTTATTTTCTTTTATTTACTTTCTTTCAGTGTGTCTTTCGTTAAACATTAATCTGTTTTTCTTTCATTTATCTGTTTTCTTTGCGTTTTCTTTCTGCTAGTCGATTTTAATTCTTTCTTTCCTTGTATCCTTTTGCTTTTCTTTTCTTTCATTCTATCTGCCCTTACTCATTTCCTTCGATTCTTATTTTTCTTTCATGTATCTATTTTCTTTCCTTTTCTTTTATTTTTCATTCTTTTGTATGCTCAACTTCTTCCCTTCTTTCTTTCCTTTTATCTTTTTTGTTTTTCCTTTTTACATTTTATCTTCTATTACTATTTTTCCATCTTTATTTTTCTCTCCCTTATCTGTTTTTTTTCTTTTTATCTTTATTTTTTCATACTTTGATCTTTCTTATATCCGTTCTATTTCTTTCTTTCTTTCTTTCTTTCTTTCTTTCTTTTGTTTTCCTTTAATTCATTTTATCTTCCATTATAATTTCTCTTCCTTCTTTATTATTTTTTCATTTATCTGTTTCTTTCCTTTTTTCCTTTATTTTTATATTTGATCTTTTGTTATGTGCTAAACTTTTTCCTTCATAATTTTCTTCAATCCTTTAGATTTCCCCGCCTTTCATTGTATCCGCCATTTTTCTTTTCTTTCCTTTTTTTTATATTTTCCTTTGATTTATCTGATTCTTTCAGTTATTTTTCATACTTCGATCTTTCTTAATTTTCTTTCGTTTTCATTCTTCATTCTTTCTCTTATCTTTTTTATTCCGTCCTTTCCTTCTATACATTGAGTCATTCTTCTTTCATATATCTTATTTTTTTTCCATTTCGATATTTGTTTCTCATATATTCATTCCCTATACGAAGTTGTTTGAAAACTTCTGAGGCTCTCATCAAAATATCAGGATTTCAAGCACCAAATATCAGAAGACATTTTTTTTTCTTATTTTTTTCTTGTTATGACGTGGGTTGGGCAGAAATTGTCGAGCCATTCGTGTTCACCTCTTTTTCAATAATTTCTTTCATTGTAATTTTTTTTTTTCGGATCTTGATTTTTTCAATATTTTTTTATTTATCCATTTCCCAAATAGCTACCTTCATTCCGTTATTACAATTTCATGTTTTTATTCTTTTAGCTTTTTTTTAAAATACCTAGCAATTTACCATTTTTTGTACCTTTTTCTAAACTAATTTTTGCTTTTATCTTATGTTATATATTTTTCTTTCATTCATCCTTTCTTTTTTCTTTCTTTCTTCTTTCTATCTTTTTTCTATCTTCCCAGATTTATGTCTGTTTTTTCTTTACTTTTCTTTTCTTTCTT